GTTTTCTCCTGCCCCACCCACCGCGTCTGTTACGACACTGGCTAACACGCCAATCATCCCCCCAATGAAAAATATTTGTCTACGCCACTGATATTTACATTCGCCAGTAAATTAGACTTTTATACTTACACAGAACCTACAACAGCGCCACCGACCACATCAGTGACAACTGAAGGTATGTTTTTTACTTATCATTATTATGTATATACTTTTTAAGTTTGTTCATTCAGAGTCTGAAATGACAGTCTCAAGCATCACCAGTAGTAGGGACAGCTGAATTTAGGTGGCTATAATATTTAAAAACTTCAAAATTAAACTTAATTGTTTAAGTACGTATTAATCACATTTTTATATGTATACAGTACCTACAACATTGCCGCCAACCACATCAGTGACAACTGAGGGTATGTTTTTTACTGATTATTATTATGTATATGCTTTTCAAATTTGTTCATTCAGAGTCTGAAACGACAGTCTCAACTATCACTAGTAGTAGAGACAGATTAAGTTAGGTTATAATATTTAAACACTTTAATTTCCAACAAATTTAAACTTAATTGTTAAGTGTTTTTAATTGATTAGCAACTCTTAAATATTATTCAATGTTTGTATTCAAACTGAACCTACAACAGTGCTCCCATCGACCACATTAGTGGCAACTGAGAGTATTTTCTTAACTATTATTATGTATGTACTTTAAACATGTGAATTTGTTCATTCAGAATCTAATGAAGTTAAAACTTGTTAAGTGTTCTTATTAAAAAGTACTATTAATCACATTTTTATATGTATACAGTACCTACAACATTGCCGTCAACCACAGAATCAGCGACAACTGAGGGTATGTTTTTTACGGATTATTATTATGTATATGCTTTTCAAATTTGTTCATTCAGAGTCTGAAACGACAGTCTCAACTATCACTAGTAGTAGACACAGCTGAAATTAGGTTATATTTTTAAAAAAATTAAACTAAATTGAAAGTGTTTTAATTGTTTTAACAGCTACGCCACTGCCTGATATCACGAAGTGAATATCATTCCAAATTTCAGATTAATTGAGGAAAAATAATGAATTCATTTTCGGTTTTCACTGGACCGGTAGATTTTTGGACAACATCCGGTTTTCAGTTTCTCCATGACCTACAGTAAAACTTTACTTTACCTTCCCCTGACCAAAATATATTGTAGAGAATGAAAAGTGATATGAAACTGCTTTAAAAACCTGTACCTAAACGCAACGCTAACTGTCTAAGTCCATGAAGCGTACTATATAAATAAGAAAACATGATGTTACCACTGAATTTCAGACATTACGTAACAAAAGCAATAACTGAAAAAGATAACATGCAACATGCAAACTATCTTTTTTTGGTGTTCATACTGTTCTTTTTATCGAAGCTAATAGCAACGTTCACATAGTAGAAGGTAATCAAGCAAAGTGAGCATCCTCTAGTATATTTAAAATGTCAGCAATCAATAACATTGGAGACAACTTTTATTAGGTTATAATGTCCAAATCTTTTTAAATGCTATAATTAATTTTTTTTTTTTTAAATAAAAAAACTTTTACAGTAACTGGTGTGGGTGAAATTTCTTACTGTTTTATTTGAACTTGATATCGACCTATAATTAAAATTAGGATTATTTATTTATATAATTACTACATTTGTATAGCGCCCTTTTCATGAAAATTCATGTTTAATGGCACTTTATACGACAAAAAAAACTGGATAGGTCATATACTAAAAGAAGAACTAATGAAATGGATTTTGGAAGAAAGATGTTAAAGGAAAATGGAAAGAAGAAAAAGAAAGAAATTACTGATAATAATTATTATTATTATTTATTATTATTATTATTATTATTATTTTTTTTTTTTTTTAT